TATTTCATACAAACAATATATTTACATTAGTTTATCTAATTACATCGAATTACATTAAACATCTTTTTAGGGAACTAATTGGTAAAGAACTTTTTTGTGCATCTCATAGTACTTTACTGTATTCCTAAGGCAAATTATCTTGGTAATACATTTCCTTTCATTTTTTAACTTGTTACACACAATTGCATCAGCACTGAAGTCTTACATTATTTTTTTGTGTAAATTAATGTATCATAAATACAGAAAATATACATTAGAAAATCACATAATACTTACATTTACACTAATATATCTAATTAAGTCGTATATCATTTTTGTAATTAATGATTTAATTATTACAAGATTTTTTTCCCTCTCATCTCCTAATACAGTCCAAACTCTTAATGTAATTATTTTATAAAAACAATAATACTATATTTAGCCTGTTTCAGACATTTTCAATATTTCTGAAATCTTGCGTTATTTTTGTAAGTTATGGAATAAGAGGTATTCATACAGATGTGATAACATCTTGACAAATGTCTTCTCTTTTCTACGAGAAAAGTTTCTTCATAATCAATGAAACCTTTTGTTGTAATTGAGGGATCGTTAGTAAGCATTTAATGTACTCAAACGCAATTTGTGGCCTTTCTTTGCAGTGTAGCTCTTTTGTGAGCTGGTCACTTGAAAATATAGTGCTGTGGGTATCCTTTTCCCCACATACGCACTTGTCTGAATCGCTCAAATTTCGTGCAAAGTAGTATGTGGGGAAAGGACCATGTCCAGATAAGAAGATGTTGATGAAGAAGTTATATGAGATTGGATCATATGTGGGTTTCTTATAGAAGTTAAAAAGCCTTCTACCTGCTTCTGCATTTTCCCATTTAGTTTGCCATTTCTTTAATGTAATTTTTTTTCAACATATGTTTCGCATACGATTTTGGGAATGGGACATTGATTGAAGGTAGAGATGGGTCTTAAGCTGCATTCTTAGCATGCGCATCTGCCCTTTCATTTTGGGCTTGTCCTGCATACGCTTTTACCCACTTTATTTTTATAGATGGCCTGTTGTGCTATGATATTAAATCGTAGATATCTTGATATTGATTATTTGTTTCTTGTATCATCAACAGCTTTAATTACCGCTTGGCTATCACTGTAGATTGGTAACGTATGTTAGATGCTTTTGATGAGACAATAGAATAGCGTGTTTTATGGCTGAAAGCTCAGCTTGGAAAACGGTGTTGTTGTTTCTTAAGTGTCCTTTCCATTCTGTTGTTTCTTGTTCTGAGAGGAGTGCTAAGAATGCGCATTCTACTTCTTCGTTTATCTTTGGCCCATCTGTGTACACGACTGGAAATGTAGGCTACACTGAGGGATTTTCTTTTGTAGATATTCTGAGTTTTGCGTGTACTGCAGGGTGTCTTAAGTAAGGATTTCGAGGCTGTTCGAAATCAAGGGGACACAGGTCTTGATCTCCTATCTCTATGTTTTCTTGAGGTGGAATAACGTGGCTAAGTCTGCATCTTCTTTTGCTTTCAGATGGAGGGGTGGGATTCCTGTTAATACACAAAGTGCTGCCGTTGAGGTAGTTCTGTACGCTTTCGCTATTTATAAGAGAGAGGGGAGTTGGATCGAAGCTAAGAGTCTTTTCTTTTTCACTGTCATGGTGTGAGCCCATGCTGATGTCCCGTAGAGGATTATTTTTTCGATAACGGTATTATAAAAAATATTTTGCATCCTCGACGTGAGGCTCCACGTTGTGCCCTGCATCCTTGCGTGGGCTCTAGAAATTATTTGGGCTTTCTTCCGAATTTCCATGAGCTGTGGGATCGAAGAAAACTTTTGGTCAATTTTCAATCCAAGAAATTTCTTTTGAGATCTTAATTCTTCTATTATTGATTTTAATGCAAGGTAGCCTTTGTAGCGATTTGCCTGATTTTGGAAATAAAATAATATGTGATTTGGGCTCTGAAATTATTAGTTTTCGATTGACGCAGAGAGAATGGAATATGGAGAGAGTCTCATTGCTATTTTTTTTTCTACAATAGTATGTCGCCTGAATGCCTTTGGTTACAAAGGCCGCATCGTCGGCAAAGGCGATGAGTTTTGTATGGTCCGGCCACTTGTAGGAGGTGATATAATTGAAGGTGATCCACAGGCCTGCACTTAGACAAGAGCCCTGTGGACATCCCCTTGTTATTCTTCTTTCTACTATGCAGTTGTTGCTGACGATTATTGTTGCTCTATTTGTTAGGAAACTATGCATTAGCTTGAATATGTTCTGAGGGCATTGAATGTTGCGCAAGGCTTCAAGGATACCAGGCCACCACACGGAATCAAACGCATTTTTGAGATCCATGCAGAGTACTGCTGTATGGAGAGTTGAAGATTTATTCCTATGGATCTGCTCTTGAAGTTCTACTATCACATGTGATGTAGATTTGAGATGTCTGAAGCCGTATTGGTTGGGGCTTATGGTACCGTTTTCTCTAAGTGGTGGCGTATTCTGCCCGCGATTTCATGTTTCAAAAGTTTACCTATTGCAGGTAAGAGTTTGATTGGTCTGGAGGCTTCCGGATCCGTAGGATCTTTATTATTATTTTTGAATAGTATTGTTTGTCCCTGTTTGAGACAATTCGGGGAGACATAAAATTTGAGGCAGAGGTTTAGTAGTTTGCGGAACAGAAAAAGCATTGCGTGGTGAATTATCTTTAATAATCCTGTTAGCTAATCCGTCAGGTCCTGGAGCCTTATTATTCGGAAGATACTCAATATTTTTTTTTAATTTCTTGTGAGTGGAATTCCACATCGTCTGAAATATCTGGAGCGGTATTATTGTATCTAATATCGGAATATGAATGGCCATCGTCATCTGCATTATCTTTTAGAAAGACAGCATCTAAAATATTGTTGAGAATCTTTTCAGTGACATTACCAAGCTGGCTGTTATGTGAGAGTTGATCTTTTGGAAGAGCGATATGTGCGGGACTGAAAACTTTACTTGTAGCCATTTTATACAGCTGGCCGTATGTTTCTTTATTATTACAGCAGTAATTCTTCCAGATGCGTAATTTTGCCTCAGTTATTTTCTTTTTGTAATTTGCTAATTTTGTTGGTTATATTTTATCCATATTTCCATTTTCAACCCTTCCTGAGCACTTTTCATTTTTCTACGAAGGGCCTTTGTATGTTGCTTTTCACTAATTAATAACAAGTTGCTGCTCGTTTGGCCTTTATAACGGCAGCCAGTCTATGAGGCATAGATTCAACAAGTTTACTGAAATGTTCCAGAAGTATGGCTTGCCAACTGTCTTCTAGAATTTCCCATCATTTAATTAAGAACGCTGGTAATAGTTGACGTGTTTGCATATCCGTTTTCCGAGTATCTCAAAGGTGTTCAATGGGGCTTAAAGTCCGGCTTTCTTAGTAGTCATTTTAGCAGGGAGAATTCAGTGGAATTCTTTTCCAGACAGATACTGGGCAACCGGAATCCGCTGGAAGATAAGTTGTCTTGCTGGTACACTCTGTTTCCATCTGGATGGCAGAAAAAATGAAGTCATCGCCAATAAGATCTACATACTTGAATGCAGTAAGGGTGCATGGTACAAGTACCAAAAACCTCAAACACTCTCAAGAGAAAAGATTCCAAACCATCCCTGAGCCCCCTACGACATAGTACAGACCATGGTCTTCTAATCTAGCACGTTAGGTCCATAGCTTCGAGGGCTAGAGCTATATTCACAGCATACCATAAGCGTGATGCATTCGGAATTAAGACTACTTACTTACTTCAAATCCTCGATTGTTCAGTCATCTGCTCTGTGGTCCATGCAAGATGATAAACATGTGACTTGCTGTTTAAAGTGGTAATCTTGTGGGTCTTGGTCAGAAGCCCATACTGCAACCACTGCATCGTCTGTCTACTGATTGTCCGTCCGACTGGATTCTTCATTCAGTGTGGATTGTCACTAGAATTAAGATTTGGTGTCATTGCTTACGTACAATTCAGGTGAGTCTTCGAAGATCACGGTCATTCTAGGCTACTTGTCCTTTACTGTTTGCTTGATTACTCTTTCTTTTCCCGCGTACTTTAACCATTCTCTTGATTCTATATGAGAATAAAACTCGAATTATTTATGAAATATAATGACTCATGGGTCCAGCACGTATTACTTGGCCTTTATCAAAATCATCTCAACCGCAAATTTTACTCATCATGCTACCTTTAACGATTGCTTAGAGAGAGGTAAACTTCTAACTATATATTTGTGCATCCTACGGCAGTAGGATCCTCCCATGGGCAGAAATGAAGCAACAGCTATCTCTAATTCAGTGAAAAGTCAGAGTCGTAAGTGACCTGCTTTACTTGATTAAAGATTCGGAATATATGTGAGTGCCAGCCGTTAAATAGTCTGTCTGAGTGATTTTTTTAAACCTGATATTAATCTTTTTTTATTTCCAAACCAGGAAGGAATCCAGAAATTTAAAAGCAATGATTGTGGGAATAAATGGACAACGTCAAACTTAATTCATAAATCATTACATTAGAAATACATTTTGGTGCGTCCTGTAGCTAATGAAAGTTGAGAAATTTTAATTTTGAGGCAAAATCACCGTTTCACTGCAAATTCATTTGTTACTATCTTCATTACAGTTACAGTTGACGCTCTGAAACTTTATTGAATATGGTAAAACTATAGAAACTTAGATTTATTATTCTAAAAGTTAATTTTTGGGGGTCTAAAAGTTATTTATTGGTGCTGCTAATATCATAAATCAATGCTTCTAAAATGTAATGAATTGTCATGTTCCTGTCAAAGTTTATAAGCAGAATTGCTAACTTTTGTAATATTTTAGGCTTTTGCTATGACTTCTTTCCCGTTAACCAACGCTTTTGTAACACAGCAATGACTTTTTTCATGCCTGGATTTGATTTTATGTACACTCTGTGTTTATTAATACAGATATAAAAAACTACTAATTAGCATACTAATTGTGAAACTGCGTTCTCTTTTCAGGCGGAGAGAAAGCATGCATCAGCAACCGCATATGGATTAGTATTTGGAATTTATCAGCTTGTCATGTTCCTGTCAGCACCGGTATATGGAAAACTAGTAAGTGATGTTTAATAAAAACCCTTTTCTGGATGAATTCATTAGTATCTTGAATACACTTCTTGAAAATAAAGTTACAAGCATGAAATTCTTATAATATGCCTGGAATTCAAAATTACCGTATTTTCCGGTGTATACGACGCACTTTAACAGTTTCGTGTCTAAAATCTGAGTGCGTGTTATACAGCGCTGGACGGCGCTGTATTCCTTATTTACATTTTCATTTTGTTTACCTACTTTACACAGTTTTTTTGGCAATTCTTCTTTTCTGATATTCCAGACGAACAACTTTTTTGGCATTGTCTACACTATGTGTACCTTGCCTTTGCCCAATAGATATTGAACATGAATTTATAGGTTTCTTATTTTGGGGAATGCTACTTGGGAGGAAAACAAAACATGATATGACACCTATTAGGCATTTATAATGTCTGGGGGAGTCATCCGTTGAACAACAGTGAAACAAAATTTCATAAATTGCGGTCTTCATTTCTTACACATTCATATCTTACTAATAGTAAAAAGTATTAGTCTCGGAAATTAAAATTAAGATTCTGAAATGTTTGTTTACCTTTTTACTGACATTTAAATGTCCCAAAAAAGGTAAGCAAGCGTATTCAAATGCTTTTAACATCTTTAAAAATAATTTTACACACAAGCGGGTTTTTGTAGACGATAGAGTTAAAACCGTAGAATATTATCATACGAAATTTTTATTTTCCAATTTTTGGTCGATTTTTGCTAAAACCATCGTCCACTGTCCCCTTAAAGATGAGCATTCAATCGGAACATGACAGAACATCAAAGAAATGCTTGATTGGCGTTCAAAAACATTGTCAAAGACTTTCTTGGAAATATACGAGCACAGAATTACAGGGAAATTGTACACCCACTTTTGGAACATTGCAGCAGGAGATTCAAATTGCATTTCTTACATAGCAATCGAAAAATATTGGTGAAGTCAGTGGTGATCAGTGTGAGGGATTCCATCAAGATTTGAATTTGAAGGTCATGGAGGCACGGTACCAAGGATGTACTTATAGTGACTAAGTATTGTTGGAGCATCAAGCCAAAATGTCCACTGATTAAACACTCGGGGCAAAGCCATAAGCGAAATTTTTTACGTTAATATAATGTTTACCATTTGGTTTAAAAAAAACCTTTAATATTCGTATTAACAAAATGTACCTTGCAATAACTATTGCAGTCCCATTTCTTCTTGTATACCATCGAACATTCATGCGTTAAAGAAATAAATGGTTACATAACTATGTAAAAAGGTATGAAATTTAGAGAGCTCTGATACTATGATAAAATTCATAGTTCCTCTGATAACATCTGAACTGACTCTGGTAAAATTCATAGTTTCAGTTGTTTGTTCACATCCTCTAAATCGAGTCGGAAGTGATTCGAGGTTAGTGCTTGTCAATATATTGAATTCAAAACAATGAAATTCTTTCACTGATGAAGAACTCTTTTCCAAACAAGCTCTTAAATCGATCACATTATCACTGTGGCTGTTGCTTCCACTACACAATACCTATATCCAACAGTTCTTAAAAAAAAAAAAAAAAAAAAAAAAAAAAGATTCAAGGAATTTCAAACAAACATGAAACCTTTTCTAAAGTATCTCACCCTACTAGCAGCGGGGAGGTAAATCGATGAACACTTCTAGGTTTGACCCCGATTTATGCCTCAGCGAACGTACTGACTTCATGGCAGTTTTCGTAATTTTCCCCATGTGAAGCGTGAACGCTAGTTAGTGTCTTTTGAAACGCTCTCCACGAAGGCAGCTCTTTCCTTAGGCATATAGCAGTCGCATGGCTTGCTGTAATCCGAAGTATTCCTAATCATAAAATATCTCAAGCTTTAAGATGAGGAGAAATTTCTAGGAAGGAAAAAAATAAAAATCTCTCCCCTAAATGTATCTGAACGGATATATTTTGCAAACTGAGCAAATGGGAAGACGGAAATCAGTCGATTCTTAAATGTGAATTCAAAATAACTCAAATGCTAGAGATTTACGAAATTACGTTATTGGCCACATCACTCATTCTCCTTTGAGCAGTATTGTTTGATAGTAAAATTGCAAATTATCTTTCCTATTCTCAATGTCATTTCCATCATTTTGAGAATACACAATTTTCCAGTTGAATGTGATTTTTTTACTTGTGTGTTATCTCAAGTGCAACGACATAGAAAGCTCCGATAAACATTTAAGTCTTGAAATGCTGCTATTGAGCCCATCTTTGTCCTTTTGAAAGAATGTTCTTTACCGATTAAATAAAAGTTTAGTATTTGTATTTATACTGAGGATAAATATTCTGCAAATGCTGACTGAAATTTGTTGATTTTATAGAATATAAAAGCAAGAATGCCAAAATATAAATATGCTATTTATAATACAAAATACAAATGCCCGAAAATACATTTTAGTGGTAGAAAAGTAAATAAAAATTTAATCCAAAGAAAAAAATTAATTTTCTTGTAAATTCATAGAAATAATCTCCCATAAGGTATTATTTTTCTGTAATATTTTTAGGATTATTTTCTTCGAAGCTAATAACAAAAGTTTCAGACACTGAGGTTAGTAATGATATGATTAAAAATGTATTTATTTATTTTCATAAAATCTGTAAACTTTGTATTTCTATTGCTTACACAATTTTTCATAATTAATTTTTTTAAATATGCGAAGTACTTTTGAATAACCATTTATACCATTCGTGATTTTCACAGCTGCAGCCGATCTAATTTTTAAGCTCACATTTTTTTTTATAGTATGGATCCTTTGCCATAAAACATTCCACGAGTTTGTTTTACGCATGAAATTGCTACCTATTCCAATGCTTCATGAAATTGGTTTGCATTTCTATATCCCTTTTCAGTTTATTTTATATTAAAGTAATTTAGGTTTTGAAGATTTTTCTGTAACTGTATTAAACTTTGATTATATATTGGTTCGATTGATAAATATGAGATATGAATACAGGCCATTATGATAATAAAGTTATCATTCTTATACTAAATCTCAACATAACTTTTAAAACACATGACGAATGCAGAAAAAATTAATTTTCGTCGAAAATATTAGTTTCATGATCCCCATCTTGGGGGGGGGGGGAATGAATGAACTAACGTTAGGAAAACCCGAAATTATTTTGCGTTTAGACAAACATGTATTTTTTACTAACTTTGCATTCATTTTATAGGTTTTTTTTAGTCTAAAGGGGCTTTGTCCCTGAAGGAGTATTGTTTTCGTTTTGCGATTTTGCGTTGGATCACTATAAATCTCCGTTTCACTTTTCAAACTGTTGCCACCAAATGTTAGAGTCCTGCATTATATTTGAAGAAATTAAATAATGGAAAATCTGCATAAATGTATGTATATGTCTGGAATTGTGATAAAACAACGGTACCTAGAGCCATCGAATTTTGAATGACGTAATCCTCCTACGAATATGGGCATGTGGAAGACCAAATTTGAAATTTGTTTTATTGTAGATTTCATATTTGTAAAATTTTAACGAATTTTTGAGTAACAAATTCAACGATTTAAAAGAGAGCAATGGAAACACTCTACGTGGGAAAAAAAACATTTTTATCTTATATCGCGTGTTTGAATTTATACATCGAAGCGGGGACCACGTAGTCTCAGCGGCCCCTTGATTGCTCCGAGTCGAATAGGCCTCGTCGCCAGAGTAGTCTGACCCTTCCGAGACACATGAAATTTAATTTAGAGACAGAATTAGCTTAAATGCTGCTCTACGCCGGTCAAGCGAAATTCTTGTTTTTTATACCTTAACCATCTTAATAACCTTTATTTATTAAATATCACGTTCTTTGAACTTAAACCATAAAATTCAGTTCAATAGCAATGTCGCAAAATAATTTTATGGTTTAAGTTAAACAGTGGTTTTGTGTGGTTTAACACACAAAACGTTAAAAAAACGCCCCTTTGGATGTAATTTAAAATCTGAAACCTTTCAGATTTTTTTTTTTTTTTTTTTTTTTTTTTTTTTTGTAGCTTACTTATTTTAAATAATATTAATAAATTTTGCATATTTATATAGTCTTTACCATTTCACGTGGTCTTTGCCGTTTCCGTTATATTATACTACTATATATTTACACTGAATTTCAGCAACGTTTAAGTTATATGTAACCAATTAAATTTGATTTCTTTCGGTAAATTTTTCTTTCTTTAATGAACTTCTGTGTACTTATTTTTTTTTCTTATTCTGAGCTACATTATTCATTTACGCTATAAATGTAATATATGTCAAGCAAAATACTGTGCAGTTATTTTTTCCAACTTAATTACATGTAAATAATTTAAGTGGAAGAATATGTGTAACTGCTTCATTTAACAATAGTACTCCTGACATGTTTAAAACTTACTTAAGTCTGTTAACAGATTTAGAAATAAATGAAAACTCGAATCATTGTTATTATTATTTTTCTTTTTTTCAATAATTAACATAATTACTGTGAATAAACATTTATGATTAACGAGTAGCAGTATTAAAATTTTTTCATTGGTTAATTTTGTTTTTCCGTAATCTTAGTAAAGTACATTGTTCGGTAACTGATTTATGTCAATCTAATTCACAATGGGTCATTATTTAATTGTTTATTATTTCATTAAATTTTGGAAAACATGATTTTCTGTTTAATTATAACTTACAAAGCTCAAATCAAATTCCTATTGTCATATCTGAGTTATTTCTCCTATATTTTCAACTACATTAACTATTTTCAACATAAACTTGTTATTTAGTTTCAAACTATTCAAAAATACTACTGTTCTGTTTCGATTCTTAGATGCTGCAATTGCAGCTGTTGAAATATTAAACTGAAGGTAATTTTTAATCGCACTCAGGTCGTACATTTGAAGCCTGGTTTTATGATGAAAATTGGAATGTTCGTATCAGGGGTTTGTGCTATTACCTTTGGGTGAGTAAATCATCTGGTGAGTAATTTTTTAGTTATATGAATATAAAATAATTTACTTCAGTATTATTATTTTAAAATAAACCAAGGAAGTTTTATATGCAGAAGGTACAAAGCTAGTTTTTCTCTGTATCTGAATTTGAATTTCTGTCTTTTGTGAAAAATTCCAAATAGATACAACCAAGAAACGTATCAGTACAGTTTAAGTATTTACATTTATTTGCTGATATTTATCATTTTTCTTTTTGTGATTGGATATTTCAGCGATGTTAAGTTTAGACTTAATGTAAGTTCAGTTTAACTAACCTCTTGTGCATTTCTCAAGTCAGACCCGCAGCTTATTCTTCAGTAATTCATGACGAAAAAGCTAAGAAATCATAATATTTTTGTGATAGAATACAGTTTCTCTTCGTCCACGCATTTAACACTCTTACTGCGTATTTATCACAGGTTTATAAAAACATTTGTTCACAGCTCCATTGCTATCCTTAATGTGTCCTAAGATCGGAAAGTCCTCGAGTCGAATTCAGAAGTATTCTTGTAGGTAAGAATAGAAAGACCAATTTGTCTGTAAATGCAACTTCAATGACAAAGCTGACAGTAAACTGACTTTTACGTACTTTATTTCATGTCTCACGACAAGGATAACTTATCCTTAAATTATTTTTTATTTACGTGATTAAGAGTATTGGGTGAACAAATTTTCAGTTGTAACTTTTTTAAAAACTTAAATGCTTTAAACACTACACTTCATACGCTTTCAAAGCGCCAGTTCGTATACGGTATTTTTCCCTCCTTTCTATATGCTTTCGTGCTGTAATGGTAGTACACTCGGCGCATATTAGAGAGCTCTAGGATCGAGTCTCGGCGAGGGTACTGCTCATTTTTCATGTCTTCGCGCATCAAAATAATCTAATGTCTCTACAGTGGCGCCCGAACTAAAAAACTGGTGGATGATGACTCTTCTCTACCAGGATTTGGCAATTGGGTCCCCTAATCCCCAGTCGCCCTTTTAAAGGGGAGTATATAAGGTATTTTCTCCCTCCTTTCCGCATGCCTTCTTGGGGTAACGGTAGCGTATTCGAGAGGTCCAGATTCGAGTCCTGGCGAGAGCATAACTCATTTTCCACGTCTTTCCGCATCAAAGTAACGTAATGTTTCTACATCCTTGCAACGAAAATCCTCCCTTTAAACTGGACTATACTGAAGATACAGACTCACAAAATAGCATTCAGTGCAATGTTGTTTAGAAAGCAGTGTATCAAACATAGCATTCTTTACCTATTTCGTTTTAAAAAGACGTCATTCAAGCTAAGGGAATTGATTTTTTATGCCTTTGGACGAAGCTGTGGCTTATTATCAATCAGTCAGTTAATCAATAACCGTTAACGTATTAGTAAGCAGCATATTAAACGTTGCATTTTTTACCCATTTCGTTTTAAAAAGACGTTCTTCGAGCGAAGGAAGTGATTTTTTATGCTTTTAGAGGAGTAGCTTACTATCAGTCAATTAATCGATAATTGTTAACGTATTGAAATGCATTGCTCTGTCATGCGAATTTAGAAGCCTACGTATCTGGGACATATTTGAGAATATTATCTGAATATAGAAATATTTACATTTGTGTGTGTGTCAGTCATAAAAATAAAGTATAATACATAAGATTTTTCTTCGGAGACTGAAATTATTATCAGCTTTACTTTTAACCATATTGGAATAAAAAATTGCAATACGTTTATCATTACTTTCAATTTTTCGACAGATAGAACAAAAGTTTTGGATCAGAGGTATGCCAGAGATTTAATCCAATTGTTTAGAGCCGAGTGAACATCTAACCGAGGTATTACATTACATTCTGTCATGAAAAGGTTAATCCCGCTGAACTGGCCTCAAGACGTAATGTGCCAGCCCTTGTGGCACGACCCTTTCTGTTTTAACTGAACTTCTGAATGTTAGCCGATAAATATTTAGACAGAAAAAATATACATAAGAAATAAATTTAAAGCATTTTTAAAACAGCATATGCTTTGCTTCAAGTTTAAATAGCAAAAAATGAAAGTGAATTACTAAAAGCAGTTTATGAATTATTAACTGATATTAATCTGTAAATAATAGCTTCCCAACGGGGTCGATAAAATTTTAATAATTCGTTAGCCAAATATGCGCCCGCAGCTGATCGCCATAATAAAGATATTATGGATTAATTAATAAAACTGATAATGAATTGTTTATTGATGTAAATCTGCATCATTTAGTATGGAAGAAATCATATAAAATAAATATAGGGAAAAACATACACTAAAATTATTTAATATCTTTTAAAAATCAACAGTACTTTTTAAGTGTATAATTTTTATGCAGTAAGTACAATATAAAAAAGTAAAACGCAGGAACAACAAAAAGAAAGCACAGCCAAAACGTTTCGAAGAATGCGAATTGACGAGCCACTTTTGAAGGAGCTGATGTAAGAACTAAATAATTTTATGTTAATGTAATGCTAATATAATGCGATAAAGAAAACTACATCAAAACATCAAACGCTGCCATCAAATTAATTAAAGTGCAGTTAGAATCTGTGGTTTCGCTTCTGAAAACTTGTGAAATCTAAACTTGGGAAAATTAAAAATTTACAAATATATATAAATTTTTTCTCTCCAGTGGCGGCCACTAGCCATTTATAGCTGTTGGCGACTACTAAGACCGGAAGTAGTGGTCATTTTATTGAGGCACCTAATAGGGGGGGCACTTTTGCCTTCTATGAAGGGACAGATAATTTAGATCCATGCCTTCTCCGGGATTCGAACCTTGACCTTTCGATACGGCAGTCAGTGTCATTAACCACTTTAAATTCTTAACAAATATATAATAATAATGCAAAAAATAATAAAGCATAAATCTAATAAATCATTTTTTATGTAAAACGTTTTTTCGTCTAATTATCACTTGTCAGATATTTATTTGTAGATGTTTATATTGTATGCTATTTATCAGAGAATAAGCCCACCAGCGACCGAGCGGTAAAATTGTCGAACGCTGGTAGTTCTGACCTGGGTTCGAATCCAGGCGAACAGGCTGGCTACAGGGGCGTTTTCATGGTTTTTCCGATGTGTAACGTGTATATGAGCCAGTTTCCCATAGGAAGTCGCCCACCAGCGGCCGAGCGGTAGAGTCGCTGAACACTGGTATTTCGGTTCGAGGTTCGAATCCCGCAAACGGGCTGGTTGCATGGGTGTTTCGTGATTTTCCCCTTGTGTAACGTGTATACGAGGCAGTTTCCCTTAGAAAGTCCTCCACGAAGGCATCCCTCCCCCCTTAGGCAGATAGCCCTAGTGTGCTTTGCCGTAATCTCAATAAATCAATAAACCAAACCCATCGGAAGTCCTCCATTGCCTTAAGCAGATAGCCCTAGCGTGCTTTGCTATAATAAACTAAGGCAAGCCAAGTATTTATGGAATAAAATTTGAATGAAGAAAACCATTCCTTCAAAAGGGGTCGATGCGTTGGGTTTAAAAGTGTTATAAATCCCTGCTCTAGATGAACGTGACTCAGAGATTAAAATCTCGATAGCGATGAATAGCTGTACGAATTTAAAATAAATTTATAAAAAAAAAACACGAAGAAAATACTGCCGTTTTGAATTTAAAATAACAGATTGCTTACAGACGTATGAAAATAAACAAAATTTTGAATTTATAAATGTAAATAATTATTTCCAAGCATCAGTTGTTCAAATAGTATTTCTTCAAATGTTGCAATGAAGCTGCCAAAGTTAACGACAGAAACATTTTCGTGGAATTTCAATTTTTGGTTTTTAAGATTTTCAATGCTTTACAAAACATATTTGATGTGAATCCGATTTTATACAAGCTAAAAAGTCGTCTTTCTTGTAAACATTATTTATTGGTTCTGCATTCACGGTATTATCTGGATTTCGTATAGCGAAAGCAGATAATGCTTTGTGTTAGATTGTCAAAAGTTATCAAAGGTTGGAGTAAAGTTGTTAAACGATAAATTGTTTGCTCAAAGTTGTTAAAAGATAGATACGGGCATATTGATGTAATCGTCATAATTCATTTAAATTAATTTCTGAATTTTGAATCTGTTAAACACGATTCTATGGCGATTCCCAAAGCTTTATAAAAATTTAGAAATAAACGTTTAAAATTTAAACAAGTTATCATATATTATTAAAACTATGAAAACTCATTAATTCCTATAATTATGAAATTAGTTCATGAAATGTTAAATTTTAACAGAAATCTACGAAGAATGTCCCCGTGCGTGTTGTTGTGGTGTAAACTGTAGCAACCCAGCTAGCAATAGGATGTATTTGTTGTTCGAATTCCGGTGAAGACAGAGTGGAGTTTTTTCAGGTATCCGGGAAATAAATAATCTAAGTTGCACTTGAGCTAAAATATAGTTTACGAAGATTTGTCACCACTCGGATTTGGTCTCTCCAGTAGCCCTGTAAGAACGGGAGATTGTAAAGAATTATTGCATTCCCCAGTGCATACTTCTGGCGTGTAAGTGTTAGTACATCCAGCTAGCAACTGGTAGATCCCTGGTCGAATCCCAACGATG